CTTCTGCCATACTGTGTCTTTACCTTTATTGAAACTTATACAAAGATACTCTGTGGAGTCGTGTGAGCCTTTTCAGTGATCTGAATCTAATTTTTAATCTATTCAATCCTAATCTATATTATGGAATAATAACATTGCCTATTTCATAAGATTGTTTTGAGGAATAGTTAAATAATTAAAGCTGTGCCAGCTTTGTTCTAAACTCTTAAAAATTAAGAGTTAAAAAATTCTCTTTTAACACTGGAACAATGGAATCGTTACCACTGTAAATGTCTGATTTCCAAAATACAGGAACAGACATACTTGAATATATCAAGTCTAATATTTTTAAAAATTATTTCATAGTCTCACATAACAAAATATCTTATTTTACCAAAACCATATTTCTTATTTCAATAGGTAAGATTAGCATATATATGTGTAGGAAACAGAATATTTTTTATATTATGAAATAAGCTTTATTTACTGATTTAAAGAAAAATTTAATCATTTTAAGGCTCTCTTTGGCCCCATTTGTTCTATAAGAAAACATGCTCCTTCCTACTACCAAGTTAAACATATCAAAGGTGAATAAGATGCATGACATGCAGTTTATTTCAAAATGAAACAACAGTATTTATAAACAAAATGATTTTGAAACATTTGATAGTGCTCTTTAATATACTTTGCTTTTAATATTAAATTCAGATGAGACCAATTTGGTAGCACAAATATTTCTTCTTTAATGAAAATGATTCACTGATTTCTAATCTCTGTGAAATACATGAAAAATATTTACCAGAAATACATGAAAAATATTTACTAGCACATTAATATACATTACTAATGTGCTAGAATGTAATTTTCAAAGTGATGAAAATTTCATAGTATGTTACATTTTTCTTTGACTTTAATTAAATTTCTTCTACAAAGATTTAGAGATCTGATGTGAAAAATAATTAAATTGGTTATTTTTATTCATGAATTCTATTGCTATAAAATGGAAAGGCTCAGTACAAATTACCAATTAAAGTAAACCTTAGATGGACTTAAGAATATCAAAATGTGTCCACAGTGCAGAGAAAAAGATAATTTTAAAAATCATATTTTGTTTATTTATCCATGACATGGATATCTATTGTGTATTATATGGGAATTTACTTGAAAAATTGCCTTAAATTTTAATATCGATTCTCTTTGTCAGTCTATAAAATTAAAAGTGGCATTTTGAGTAGAATAATTGTAGTATGTGCAATAAAAATCTATTGTTATAAGTGATAAGCCATATAACTCAGGAAAGAACATTTTTGCTGTTTTGTTTTAGAAAAATCTTGAAGTATACTGAGAGAGGTTCAGAGATTGTTAGCTAGGATGATTAATAATAAAAAATTTTTTAAGTTCTGGGCAAAGCAAAAGTACATGGACCTGAGTGACATAAAACGCTGGCCCTTAAGCTAATATATAATCTGTACATATATTAGAGGTTAAGAGAATTGCCACAGAGGATGGTCACCAAAGAAAGTCTCATGGTCCCACCAACATTATTGTCTTGCCTCAGTTCCAAATTCCTAGAAAATCAAATTCATTCATTGAAAAAATATTTGTTGGATGCTTTTAAATTTTAGACACTATTTTATATATTGTGATTATGGTAAGACCAAGAAAGTTTCTACCTTCATAAAGCTTATCCTAGTGGTAGAAACAGACTTAAAAAATTTAAGGAAAAATATAATTTTCATTACTGAAGTGATGAATAAAAGAAAACAGAATACAGGTAGAGACAATGATGCAAGTAGAAGGGTCTGTTTGCAGAGTGGTCATGTTAAAGAATCATTATTTAAGCAGAGATATAGATAAGAAGAAAGAACCACCCTTGGCTAAAACATGGAGACAGGGGCATACATTAATAAAGAGCAAGTTTAAATGTCAAGAGGCAAGCTTAGTGTCTGTAAGACAACCAGCAGATGACATTTAGTCTGGAGTAGAACGAGCAATGGGAAGAGAGGCTGGAGAAGACAGCAGAAAGATAGTCATGACCAGATCGTGTAAAGCCCTTTATGACTTGGGAAGAAGGTCGGGTTCTATCTGAATTGTTCTCAGAAGTCACTAAAGGAATTTAAAGAAATGAGTGACATATCTGATCAACTCTGGTTTCTGTGTGGAGAATGGAGCCTATATAGTAGAGAAAGTTGTCAAAAAAGCTCTCTGAGGAAGAATGTGCTGTTGTCTCAGCTTGAAGTAAGGTGGTTGGGGTGTTATTTTTGCCAAAGAGCAGAAGCATCAGAAAAGAGTGGCAGAAAATTACAATCTGTCTAAAAGTTTTTGTTAGATGTTCCATACCACTACCTGCTCATATTCCTTTGGTTGAAGCAAGTCACATGACCTACTTAAAATGAAACGTGCATAAAAATAAATACCATATAACAGAAATGAAGAGAACGAATAATTGTGAACAATAATATAATCTACCACAAGCATATACTTAGTAAAAGACCCAACATACCTGGTATTCAGGCCAACATACCATCGAACTTGTGCTATTATTAGCTGGGTACTACTAATACCTGCTCCATTTTTCTATGCTTTACTAACTGATTCACCTGCCTTTGGATTTATTCACATTATTTTTTTAAACAAATTAGTAACTTTATAGTTTATAATCATGTCTTACTTGTCTAGAAGTCAGTCTCTCTCTTTTTAGACTAATTTGGCATATCTCCTCTCTGATTCAGTATGTGCTGATACATAACCAGGGGACAATATTAATTCCAAGACAATGAATAAGCTAACATTTTTCCTTTGTACCTATCAGGTTGAATTTTAACTCAAATAAATGAAGAAGAAACAACATACATTTTGTTACAGGTCATACGTAACTAATCAAAGTCAAACTTAGAATTAGTATCATCATAGTACACACTTCATGACCTCCAACTCCACACTCTTATCTCTAAGAGTGCTAGGTTCTTGGTTTCTCTACCTGGAAGGCTCTTTCCTTCAACTTCTAAGCCACATTTCAAACATTAATTCATCTGTGAAGGCTTTCTGACTTACCTGCGGCCTAGAGTAACTTGCCCTGTATGGAATTGTTCATAATGGCTTATGTAAATTGCTTATGACACTTACCATTTCTCATCTTCTATTAATTATATCTACCTACCAAAGTATAAATCCATTGGAATCAAGAAATTTTCTCTTTAACAGTTGTCTTGTTTTATCTCTTAACAGAGTGCCTATAGAGCACAGAGATTGAGGTTATAGGTTCTGACACTGGGTGGCTTAAGTTCACATTTTTACTCTGCTACTTCTTAGGATGTGATCTTAGGCAACTTTTCTGAGTACACAACACCCCAGAATTCACCTCACTAAAATATGGATAACAGTAGTACTTAGCCCATAGAGTTTTTGTAAGAATTAAATTCATTTATACAGGCAAATTCAATTGAAAGAGTGCCTAAAATAGAGTAAATGCTCAATTATTATTAGTATTTATGACTTCCCATATTGTATACTCTAACCATATTTAAATGTGAGTAAATAAGTTAAACTTAAACTTAAAAAATTAGTATGACTATTTTCAAATACATACAAAAATAGAAATGAACTAAGGAGCTGTCATCTTCCCAACAGTTCAAGAATCTGTCATACTGAATTAATATCTCCCACAACTTTTTTTGAATGAACTATTACAAAGCAAATCCCAGACATTATAGTTTCAATTCAGTACATATTTTTTAATCTGAACAATAAAATAATGATGAATAAAAATAAATACTAAATAATCACTATGTGGAAGGAAATTAAGAATATTATCAAATCTCTTTTCTCTCAATTATCTGATAATATTAAGGAAAATAGGTTTGCCTCAAATATTTTGACAATTTTCATTTCACATTGACACATTTAGTCTATAATTAAAACCATAAATCACACAACCTTTGAAAAAATTATAAAAAAGAAAATAATTTTAGTTGAAAACCTCATTTTCCTTTGTTTTTAATTCTGAACTCTATACATATAAGTGTAACTATTATTTAGTAATTACTATATGCTGTTTAAGTACACACAGAGAAAACACAAGACTCAAATTCAGACACTTACAGAAACACACATACACGTGCACACATGCATGGTTGACTTACTAGATTAGAACTTCTTTAAAAGTATACATCATATTTCTTTATATCTTTTATAGTACCAAGTATATTATTAAGTTAATTAGATTCTATTATGAACTAAATGCAGCAGAAATCAGATATTTTTCTGCTCATAGTACATATATGAAGACATCCTGCTTAATAATTTTTATTCATATTTTAACATCAGATTTATTTGGGGGAAAGAAGTCCTAGAGTTAAGAATGCTGATCAGTAAATATTTACTATAGTACTTTCTGTTTTTTCAACCAAGAATTATTTACCCTTAATTTGTCTTAAAAATAGTTAAAATTTTTGTAGACTAAATAAATGAACATTGTATTGTTTACTAAATGGTAAGTAGCAGAAAAATGATAATACACATTTATTGTGATTTTTGGAATAATGTATAAAACTTATAGGAATAGATATTTCCTAAGAATATACTGGACTTTGAAGGTATTTTAGAAATTTGTTTCCTTAAAAGATAATAAAGTTAAATATTAAAATAAGATGTATAGAAAGTATGAAAATTGTGATGAATATATAATTTCTCCAAGGACTTTTATTGCTCTGAAGTTAACCACCATCATTGAAATGTTTTGGCCGATTAATTCAGTTCTAAATAAATTATTTTTTAACATAATACCAGATATACAATAGTGAAAGAATGGTATGAATACACGCAGAACCTAACAATTTGAAAAATGAAGCTTGAGGCTTGGGTACCAGAAAGAGTCTGGATATTAAAAACGATAAAGCAGAAAATAAATCATTAACTGGGTGGTTAAATGAACTGACTCTCCCATAAGTCATCAGCTTTTTTCAAAAGATTACATTTCTTTCATTGATTGGTTAATTTATGTTTCTTAAATCAACACGGGACCAGGGGTTAGGCTATTGGTTCTATTTATTTTGTGCAATAATTCTGCCTACTCACTTATGACTGATAGCTCAGTATAGATTCTGTATCTTTAGACAGGCTGTGTCCAGAATTGGTCCTACATTTTCTTGCCTGAAAAACTGAGGTAAAGGGTAGACAGATTTAAATTTGATTGACCAGTGAATTTCACTTCTTTCAAGCTACATAGTGAAACAAGTCTGTACGATTAATCACTTACTAAAAATTTTTTGATCTACTCTGAAGTTAACCACCATCATCGAAATGTTTTGTGGAGACTATGTAAGTATACTAGCTATTTCTGTAAAACTTTCCAGTCTTTTGAGATTTGAACCTTATCCATAAAATTTCATTTGTAGTAGTTGACATTTTAAACAGGAAATACTGGTGTTTTAATTTTCTTGTTAAGTTTTTTAATTAGGTGTTCAATGTAACTATTAAGTAAAATTTATATTATTAAACTTCAAGTCCATGCTAATTTTGAAATAATGTATTATTCCATAGAGGTAACTTAGTTACCTGTACTTTTATAAGTAATTTGACACAATTTATAAGTAATTGTAAGTTACTTTTACTTTTATAAGTAATTTTATGTTACAAGATTTTTTGTCTCATATGTATTTCTTTCTATAAGAAATTGAAATTTGATTGTTAATATTTTAATCTCTGATCTCTTCAGAAAAGTTTATTTTTTAATAATTATCTGTTGAATTTAAGCAGTGTATAACTCGGTTCAGTCATTTAATTTTTTTTCCTTGTCTGAATCACTTTGACCTAACAGCTCTAAATTTTGAAGAGCCAACATAAACTCTGAGTTCAAGAAATACACATTATTTGAAAATATATCCCATTTACATGGTCTTATAAATGCCTATAAAATTTTATTTACTTATTTTACTTTTTAAATTAAATATTGAATGAGGGCCAAAAATGTGGCTACTTTCCATCATCGTTGGCTTAACAGTCTTAATTTCACCTTGAGATTTCATGACCCTATTTTCAGGTAAAACTTATCATTACTGTTTTATTAATTGTGAGGTAGTTACATTTCACTACAGAGAAATAAAATCATTAGGTAATTTAGGCCAGTATCATAAATTATTTAATTTTTAAAAAGCTATAGTTTTCTCCTATTTATTCAAGTACAATTATTCAGAAATAATATTATATTCTGCATGATGTGTATAATCTTATGTTAACATTTATATGCTAATTTATCAAAAGAAACATGTGGAGAATATTCAAATTGTATTTCAGAGATTATCAAAAGTTAGGATAAGATTTTGAAGCAATTTGCTATGCTTCTGGAACAGATAAAGATTATCAGAGATTAAAGAGTTGGATTTGAACATACCTAAAAATTCATTGTAAGTGTTTTTAATCAGCTAATTCAGAGATAAATGTTGTTTTATGTATTATCTTAGCAAGTTTTGATGATAAAATAATTTTACATAATAAATGTCATCATATTTTAAAGCAATTATTTATTTTCTTCAGCTATATGGCCCAAGTGGTTAGAATTTAGTATTAAGGAAACTGATATTTGAGGTCAAGTTCATTTGTTTAAACTCTATTTTGAGTCTGATGTCTTTATGCAAAAGACAAGCTCTCCAAAGGCAAGGAAAGCACAAGCTTTCTTATGTGGATAATTATTTGGAAATTACTGACTGGATTGCTTGTTAAAATACAGTCTTAGGCCCTCTACTAAGTAGTTCTGATTCAGTTTGGATGACATCTGAACTTACACATATGATACAAATGCGTGACTACTTTTGAGAGCCACCAAAGTAATTAAGTGTCAGTTACAAAACATAGAAAATTTAAATATAAGTCAAGCAAGATGCAAGAATCATTTCTTACATTTCTGTAAGAAATAAACATATGCAATGCTTTAAAATTACTTTCTAGAATTATGGAGTTAGATGTCCTTCAATGATTAAGGTAGTTTAAGTGGTTTAATTACATTAAGGTAAATTTACCTTTGATCCGTAAATGTTTTTTATTTATGTGCTTGACTGTAAGACCATCTATTGAAAGCTGGATTTCATTAAATGATTATGGAAAGCCTGGAATTGTTTTATTAATGATGCAGATATAAATCACCTTTCAGGAAGATGTTATTATCTCTCTTACAATGGAGGGAATTGCACTACAGAGTGTTAACAAACAAATGAACAAACAAGAAAATAAACAAACTTGCCCAAGCCAAAATCGAATCTCAGGCATTAAAGCTCAAGCTCTTATCCACTGAAATATACTGCCTCTTTCAAATATATTGCCTGATTCTTCTAGTGAAATTGTTGGCTATTTTTGTCCTGTTTGTTATCAACAGATCCCTTCTTTACTTGTATAGTAGCATTGTATTTACTATTGATGCATTTATTTGATTACTCCCTTTCTCCTTCCCTCTAAGTAAACTTTAATCCTACTCCTTTTCCTATCCTTTTGACAACTTTCCTATTTCTACCGTATTTATTAACTGACAGGAAAATGTATACCTAAATTAACAATATGTATTATACTTAAAGTAGAGAAACAGCTATTATTAAAATATCCTGAGTTTCTACATCAGGAGCTTTGCATACCTTGTCTAATTTAATCATCAAAGCAAACCTTTTCACAAGAATACCACCTAGCATGCAAGGGTTTTGAAATTCTTCTTGAAGACACCAGATATTAAGCTCGGTGATTTTAAATATATGATTTTTAGTCTTTACAATCTTCATGGAAAGTAATATGATCTCTATTTTCCATGTGACTATACTGAGACTTAATTTCTCTAAGTTAAATACATTTTCCAGAAGTGAAAAGTCAGGAAGTAGTGATATAGGATCCTGCCTAACTCCAAAACCAATTCTACCACCAGAAAAAAAAGAAAATGTATTCTTTGCTTTGGTTCACAAAGAAAATGTATTCTTTGCTTCATAACATGAAGTCAGGAATTATGTAGAATAATCATACTTTGGCACTTGTACCAATAATCATACTTCGGCACTTGTACCAAAATATGATTATTCTACATAATTCCTGACTTCATGTTATGAAGCAAAGAATACATTTTCTTTGTGAACCAAATCAACAGATATAAAATTAGCAGCAATATCTAACAAAGATGCTCTTACTCATAAATTTACTTGTAGAATGGGTCAGGGGTACCAAAGTCAGACAACAGCAACTCAGGTGATGGTTAGTGTGGGCAACAAGACATTCTGCCTTTTAATTTGTAATAAATGCTTTGATATTAAGCGGTGAATTACATCAAATGAAGGAAGAGCACTCAGAAAATCTAAAACAAATTCAGGGCATTCTATCCAGGAGTGACTGCAGGCTGCGAAGACCTCCCATGAGAGCAGAGGCTGTTGATTAGGCAAGATTATTTTTTAAAGCAGGCTTTCCAGATTGGAAGTATTCCTGGGAGAAAAACTTCCATGTGAGAAATCTGACTTTGATTGTTTATCTGCAGTATGACTTACTGAACAAATATTAATAAAAGGTTACTCATACTTTAGATTGCTTTTTACTATCACAAGACTTCATTGTCTGAACTTTATACACTTTGGTTGAACAAAAGTTATGAATCATACTGGTTATAGCTTCAAATTTTACTGAAGCCTCTTTTGAGCTAACGTATTAAAATGGAAAAATTAAATGTAGTAACTTCTTCCTTGAAGTTATATATGAGCATGTTGTTAGATATTTTAAAACTCCCTTTACCACCTAAGAATTGCTTTTATTTTATTAATTTTTTTTAGAGGTCTTTATTTTATTTTTATTTTTTAAACCTATCATGCCATGAATTCATAGGGAATGTCCTCCAGCAGTTTGGGTTCCCTTCCATTCGTTCTCACAAAGTGAGCTGCTCTGGGTGGAGCAGGCTGGCGCTTCATTTGAACCCAGGTACCTTTCTCTTTGGCTTCCTTTTCTTTTTGATCATTTCCTTCACACGTTTCAGGAAGCTGTCTTGGCTCTTAGAGTACTCAATATGCTCAATACGCACATTAATTCTCTTGGCAAGAATCTCACCCTTAACTTGTTTGTTTACAACGATGCCAACCACGTGCTGGGGAACACTGTAAACTCTTCCAGGTTTGCTGTGGTAGCATTTGTGGGGTGTTCTTTTTTGAACAGTGCCCATCCCCTTGATGTCTACAATATCACCTTTCTTGCAGATTTTTCATGTATGTGGCCAGAGGAACAACTCATGTTTTCTGAAAGGCCTAGAGAACATATAGCCTTTCCCTTTCTGTTGGTCATTTTGGCGAATTCCTGGAAGATGGCAGTTTCAGCCGAAAGGAAGGCTAGATTGCTTTGAATGTAAATGCTGGGCAAACAGGATGGTAGAATAGTAGTTACACATACAGTCAGAGCTAGCTTTACCCCATAGGACTCAGATAACTGAGGATATTTACTTAATCTTTTTGTACCTCAGTTTTCCTACCTGTAACATGGGTGTGATAATAGCACCTATATTATAAGAGTCTCTTGAGAATTAAGTGACAGGTAAAGCACTAAGAAAACTTGGAGCGTAAATAGCACCACAAAACGATAAGCTAATATAAAGAGTTTTAAGTAGTAGTGCCAGAGCTTGAACCCAACTCTCACTCAAAAGCCCTGGAACTGCTTGTGCAGATGAGGTTGTTTGTATCTACTACTAAGGCCAAATTTGTTTATACATATATGTATATACATATGAATATATACATATATGTGCATATTCATAAAATTTATGAATAAACTTAAGAAACATCAAAAGTTTCACAAGTGGAAATATAAATATATTCTCTTAAACTCAGCATAATCTTTATTTGTAAATAGCTTTTACCATGCTAAAAAAATTCAGAATGCCACTTCTCTCACCAGTTACTGCCAAATTCTCTTTTTCATGGCAAAAAATCCTCAAAAGTGTATTGTACTAATTATACCTAATTCCTCTCCTCCAATTGTCTCTGAATCTACTCTGAGTTTTCACACAAACCCACTCTATTTTATGAAGGTAAGCAGCGACCTCCATGTGCCTGAATCTCATGCCAAATTCTTACTTGTCATCTTACTAGATATGACCATCTCCTTTGCCAAGAATGCCCCAGGGCTAAATTCTTGACATTTTTCTCTTTCCTATTTATAGTCACTCCTGTGGTCATTGCAGCCAATGTAATGGCTTTAATTACAATATATTCAGATTCTTCTTTGAATTTATATTTTAACCCAGCATGTGCACCTGAACCCCAGATTCATATAACCAGGTGTCTACTCACTGAGTAAAAACTCCATCTTTACTAGCT